TCTCGTGTGTCTGTATTGGCGCGACGTTCCTTCATTCAGGCAGTATTTGCTAAGCATCCAGGAGGCTCCCGTTTATTCATTTATCATCCAGCAAACACCACGAGGAGGCTGCCAGCCGGGGCCAGGCTGGGTGCGGGCTCCCGGGTTGGGGTGGGCATCACAGGGGCACTCCCTGGCTGATGTGGGGAGGGTCGTGATGGGAAGGACCAGGGCATGCTAGGTGTGCACAGAGATGCTGGGGTGCAGGAGTGGGCGTCTCTCCGAGCACGTGGCCCTGAAGTTGAGGGCTGTGGGTGCACTAATGTGGGGGAGAGGCCAACTTCCTTTCACTGGAGCCCCCAAAGTTTCTGGCAGGGATAACCAGGTTCGTAGTGGCTGACACTAAGTACAGGGAGGTCACAGGACGTACTGTGAAGCAGGAGTTCAGGGTTCAAGCCCAGGCCTTTCTCCTCATACTGAACACACCTCTCCTGGGGCCATGGGGAGCCCTTGATCCAAAGCCCTCCACAAGGGACGTCTCATGGTATGTGGGGACAGGCCTTTGCCATAGCAGCCTATGCAAATGCCTTGGGGCCAGAGCCAGCCCCGCAGGGACTCTCCCTACACTATTCTTCACATACACCATGGAGGACAAGAGGAAGGGACACCCCTGGTCTGGCCATATGGTGCACAGCTCCCTGTGCATTGACCCCCAGGGGGGCTGCGATCCAGGAGTGGCCATGAGACAAGGGGGAGGGAGGCAACTTCCCAATGGGGCAGCGGGCTGGTCCGGCAGGCTGGGTTTGGTGGGGTCCTGGAAGAGGCTGTCCCAGCCCAGAGGCTGCCAGGCTTGGCCTGGGGCTGGCTCCTATTCCAGGAAAGGTGTGAGGCCTCTTGTGGCTCAACACTTTGGAAAGTCAGCCAAGTTCTAAGCTTACAGGCGCATGAAGGTTCCATGTCTGTGGTTTCAAGAATATAAGAGTGGGGGTGGGAGGCCCTAGGAGGTGGTCCTGTGTGGGGGCAGCCAGGTAGCGGGCGTGGGATGGGGAATGAGGTGGGGGATGGAGTAAGATGTGGGAGAAGTGAAGTTGGGGTGAGATGGGGAAGTGGGGGTGGGAGAGGAGGAAGGGGCTGGTGCTGGGAAGTTGGCCCTTATGGACCTGATCTGTCTGTGACACCTTCTGTTCCTGCCCCTCCACGTGGACAAGAACAAGTATTCCCTTCCCCAGCCTGCTCCCTCTGAAAAAAAATTATCTTCCTATTTAGTATGCAACAGGTGCTCAACGTGTGCTTCTACCGCTCTTCGGGAAAGGAGAGGGCTAAGCAGGACACAGCCCAGAGCTCAGCACTGCCCTAGCCTCCCACCCTCACCTCCCAAGGCAAGGGCCGAGCCCAACGGTCTGGCTGGGGACCCTCACCAGCCTCCCCCACCACGGATACAGGTGGCACTTCTGGAGGCCCAGAGGGGGCAGACATGACGTCCAAGGTCACACAGTGAGTCCAGACCACATGGCCTGCTCCTCACGCCCTGGAGAAAGAAAGGGCAGCCCAAAGCGGGGAGGGTCGTGCCCCACCTGGAGTGGGCCTTGATGACCTTGAGGTCCCCTTCCCACCTTGAGATATTTAACAATTTTTCCAGGGTTTCCCCAAGGAGGCCTATTCACACAGGCGGGCCATCTGATGGACCACCCCGGGGGGTGTCTCCTGCAGCCTCCTGGGAGGGGTGTGGCACTGGACAGGGAGGTCCATTTACCCCACACAAGAAGGAAGAGCCAAGTAACCCACCCTGATGGGCAGTTCCTCCACTGGGGCCGGCGCCAGGATCTGGGCGAGGGGCTGGAGCCAGGCTGCGGGAGCACAGAGCCCAGGATCTGCGCCCGTCCGCCAGGCTGCCTGTCTCTCGTCTCTTCCTGCTCCAGCTTGGCCGAGCCAAGCTGCCAAAGGCCAAAGAGCACCATGAACTCATAAGAGTGACCCAAATAAATTTTCTTTTCAAGAAAAACAGGCCCTGCAAGCCTGTGGGTCCCCACGACAAGGGACCATCAGGCAGATAGACTGGACTTCAGTTTGGTTGATGAGGACTCCGCCAGCAGCTCCCAGCCTGCTGGGCCCCGGCCCTGGTGGTCACCGCTGTGGTCTCCTGCACCCCCGCCCCGTAGGGAGCTGCAAGGAGCTCGCGGTGCTGCTGCTGTTCTCAGGCGGGAGCGTCTCCTGCCTTTGCTCGGGTTTTATAGAGAGCCAGTCGGCTGGACAGGGACAGACCGGGGCTGGCGGCTGAGGGTGAGGGTGGAGCCAGTGGTGCGGTGCCCCGGCTACAGGCAGGCTCCAGGGCTGGGCTGGATGTCGGCTTGGGCAGAGGGGGTGGAAGGCTCAGAGGGGGCTGGGGCCGGAGCCCGGTGGGTCCTGCGTTGCCCTGGTTGGGGGAGGGATGGGTCACTGCAGGGAATTACAGCAAGTGGGAGGCGCCAGGACGTGGGGAGTTTCCTCTGACTTTTGGGACTGTCTGAGGCTCGGCCTGCTCTAGCACATTCTCCAGCCCCCTCCGTCACCGCCACCAGGTTATTACCTTGACCTGACGCACACCTGATGTGGCTGGATGACTGGGCCGGGGGGCTGCGGCCCCTTCTCGCACCCCTCCCCCCCCCCCCCCCTCCCCTCCCTCCCCTCCCCCGTGCCCGTCTCCAGCCCTCTCCCGTTTTACGCGCCTCCTTCCTTCCCTCTCCCTCCTTCCCCGACTTGGACAGACTCGGAGGCCAGGCGTGTGCCGGGCGGGATCGCGCGCCCGCTGGGGTGAAATCAAAAGAAAAGCTTTGTTAAAGCGCCTTCCGCGGAAAATGGGGTGGATGTGAGCGGCGCCGGCCTCTTCCTGCTGGAATGGGAATTAGCGGCGAGGATTATTTTGAGGACGCGGGGTCCCATTGTGCCCACACGCGCCTCCTCCTGCCCGGCTCCGCGGGGTTCGCGGCGCATGGACCCCGCCCCCAAGGCCTCAGGTGGGCCGGGGGCTCCGGGAGGCCGCCGCCCCTGCGTCCCAGGAGAGCAGTTCCCGGTGACAAGCCCGGGCTCTGCAGGAACCCCACAGCAGTTGTGCGTCTTGGAGTGGAAAACGCGGCGCCTTCATCAGAACCGCACGAAGGAGGGGGTGGGGAAGCGGGTCCAGCCTCACCGGGAGCCCGCCGGGATCTGGCAGGCAGTGGCAGAGGAGAGTCCCGCTTTCTATCCAAGCCTCCCTGTGCCAAGCAGGCCCGAACACGACCTTTGGAACTTGCTTTCTAGAAAGGGCAGCACCCCGGGGGTCCGTGCTGTGGGCATGATAGTCTGTCAGGTAGGGGGGAGGGGAGGGGACACTCTGGGGAAGCCACAGGGGGTCTCTAGGTATCTCTGGGATGCTTTCTGGTGGGGTGTCTCCTCTAATGAAAACCATCTTGGGCCAGATTCTGGGGAGCTGGCAGCCCCCCAACACAAACAGACCTTGGTGTCCTGGATCAGCTTCAGGTGCCTGATGGGGTGGGAGGGTCGGTGCAGAGGCTCAGAGGCCAGGCCAGTTCCGTGAACCAGCAGCTGAATTTCAGACTCCGGGGTCCCCAACCCCTTGGGAGACACTGGGACCGTTTTGGGGCTGCTCTGAAGGCTCCAGAGGGTGGAGGGGAAGGGCACGGTGCTTTCGCTAACATTCTCACGTCCCCCGGGAGCGGGTGGGTGGCCACCCTGAGGCCACTGCACGGGGGAGGGGACAGAGAGAGGTGGGGAGGGGGCAGAGAGAGGTGGGGAGGGGGCAGAGAGAGGTGGGGAGGGGGAGGAGGGGAAGCTGCAGGCAGGAAGTGGGAGGCGACCAGCTCCCGCGGGGCAGGGAGAGGGGGTGCTGTCCCTGCTGTGGGCACCTGGAGTGACACCTGTGGGGGCAGCTCCTCATCTGACCTGCACTAACCAGTAATCTGAAGCCTTCTCCTGAGACTCGTCCACCCCGAAAGACCCCATCCTCAACCCCATCAATAGCTCTGGTTGCATTTCCGGCAAAATCTGGAAGAGCTCAGTTCTTTGTCTCACCCTCCCAGGAAACAAGCAGTTCACCTCCCCTGGAATGTCCTCACCCCCTTGCCTGGGTCCCAACACCCTCCCCACCCCCCACCGCACTCCGTCTCAGGCTGGCTGCCTCTGACCCTAAAAGTCCAATTCCGTCTGTCTGCCTGGTTGGGGGGAACTCATCTGTGGCCCAGCCAGGCAGAAAGACAGAGAACCGGGCGGGGGGAAACTCCCAACTACATGAGTCAGGGGGCAGAACCTGGGGATTTATCCAACAACCAAGAGGGTGCCTGGGCTGTGAAGAAAGGCAGCACTTGCTCCGAGGAGACTGTTTCAGGAGCTAGACCCCACCCTGCTGGTGGGGTGGGTGGTGGCATTTCCCGGGGGCACCTGGGCTCTTGCCTGGTGGTCTGGGGTCCCTGGCACTTTATTTCTCAAGTTGTCCACATCAGCAGGAGGTGAGTGGAATAGACGGTGGAGGCCAGGTGCCTGGAAACTGCTCCAGGGGCTGTGATTGGAGGGTGACCCAGGTGCCACCCACCTGCGATGTGGTCATGGTTGGTTTTATTTGAGCTGGTTGTTTGCTTGCAGAGAGGGAACCCAAAGGCCACACCAGAAAGCAAGCTTCCAGTGCGGCGAAGGCGAGGGCTAGAAAACCTCGCCCACCCCTGCACCCACCCCTGCACCCACCCCCGCACCCACCCCTGCACTTGTGTAGTCCTCACAGGTCCTCTACATCCTGGGCCAGAGGGAGAGGCCCCTTGAGCAGCGGCTCTCGCAACGAAGAGGAAGGCCCCACCAAGGGCACGCACTCAGAACCCCAGAATTCTAGGAGGCAGAGTGGACGGCACCAAGAGCTCAGTGGTCTAGAGTGGGTCTCCCGGTGCTCGCTCCGTGGCAGTGCCTCACGTGACCACTGGCGCGTTTGCCCAGTTCTCTGCACTGGAAAAGCGGAGAATGGCTAGATGGTGCCCTCTCCATTAATCTACAAACCTGGATGACATTTATTATCCTTCAGTCTTTATTTTAAACAAGGCTCCCATCCTTTACCCTTCCAAAGTACTTTTAGACATTTGCCTTCTGCCCAGAATCCTCTGCCCAGTCCCCTGTAGCTAGTGTCCAGACACTGGTCACAGACCTCCACTGAGCCCGAATACAGCGAGACCTCCCATCTCAGAAGGACTTCTTGGCCCTTGCCCATTGCCATACTCTACTGTTAGATTTAAAAACTGCTAGACCATGTGCCAATTCACCATTGACTTGTAGCCACTAGGACCCTCAGTGTATTTTTCTGTTGTGTTTGTTCATGGCCAGGAATCAATGAACTTTGGGTAGACAATCAGTAGACCTTGGGTGTGGCCTTGGTGAAGGCTTCCCACTTTGTTGACTTGCATGTGCCCCTCTTTGCTGAGGGGGTTTTGAAGCAGCTTCTGCGTCGTGGGGAGCTGGCTGCTGTACCCAGCCTGTGGCCCTGTACCCCTTTTGCACCATCCTAATTTCAACATCCAGATGTCAATTCAGAAAATTATTATATCATTCTCTCCAATCACTCAAAACATAAAATCCTCTGTTTTGTCTCATGTTGAAGAGCTGATGACATCGGACCTGTCAAATCGGGCTTATTTTCCTAGTCAGAGACTGAATGGCATATTTTCAAAGCACTTCGTCTAAACTGCATGGCACATACCCCAGGAGCCCAAAGATCTGGTTGTTCTCCTGAGATGCAGAGAGGAGGCCCGCAGGTGGTGGAGGGGGGAAGAAGGAGGAGCCACCACTTCTGAAGCATGAGAATGTCAAAATCTAAGTTTTCCACGAGGTCAGCAGCAGGTGTCTCCTAGTCTGGAGAGGGCATGGAAGTGGCCACAGGTCTGGACCTCTCTGGGTGGATGTGAGGGAGAGTAATCGAACTGGAGGAGGGGGCTGGCTTGAGATCTTCCTGTTCTATGTTGGGGGGGATACTGAGGGTCCCCCTCACTGGGACGAGGAGGGGACACAGACACAGGTGTGCCCGGGTACCTGAGTCCCAGCCAAAGTGGCAAAGCCAGACGTCCCGGGATTCCTTGGGTTTGGACAAAGGGTGTCCCCATGGCAATGAAGAACCAGGAGCGGACAGCCCTGCGTCTTGCCTGGGGCCCCTTGTACCTCTGGCTCATGGCCTGTCCTGGGCACGGGGAGGAAGGGAGACACCTCTAATAAAAACAGACTGCACTGGGCTATGGGGGATCACAATGGATTTCAGTTTGATTGAGAGAAAATAAGGTAAGGGACACTTGCTCACCTGAGTCTCTGGAGTAAGAGTCACGCCTTGGAGAAGGAGGGCAGCCAAAGGCCACGCAGAAATTGGGGGTTCAAGGTTTGCCCAGCTGGCCCCAAAGCTGTGGGGGTCCACATGGCCTCACCCAGGGGCCAGCTCATTTGAGGGTGTGCAGGGCACACGTGTGTCTGCCCCGGGAACCCAAGTAGCCCCAGTGCACTCCCGCCTTGCTTCCCTGGAGCGAGCCCACGGTGCCATGGTCCTTGTGGGATGAATGCATGAATGATGAGGACGAAGCCAGAACAGGGCTGCACACAGGATGCTCTCTCATGAACGAGGACCCCAAAGAAGCTTCCCTCTGGAGCCTGTGCGGCTGCTTGAGGTGTAAACACTGAGTCACGCCCACTGCCCAGCTGTGTGGCAAGAGCACTCCCTAGGCACTGAGCAGGCACCGCCAGCCCCGAGGGCTGTGGGACAACAGAGAGCTGGGCCCCTGAAGATGGTGGCCCACCAGGTGGCACCTGTGTCCCCTTGGCCGGTGTGGGTGACTACACAGTTGTCATTTACGGGGGAAGTAGGGCACAGCAGAGGCGAACGTGAGGATGATGCTGCCTGTCTGGGCCTACCCAGGGAACCAGCTGCCAGACAGATTGGAAGGGACCTTCCTGGTGGGACAGGTCCAGTTGGTGGCCTGAGGTGGAGTCGTAGCGGGCCTTGTCCCCCTGCAGGGCTGACCCGTGAGGGTGGGATCATCCTCCCTGAGGAGCTGCCCTGTCCAGTCCCATTGCCTTGGAGGTGGTGACACCAGGGGCCCCTGAGCCACCAGGCTCCCCCGTCTTCGCTTGGCCACCATGGCTGCTGCAGAGTCCACGGTAAGAGCCAGGATGTGGCTTCCAGGCAGGATGGGGAAGCACCTCCCAGTCCCACATGGACAAAGATTTCTTTAAACGGAGCCACCAGCCATGCCTGGTAGTGGGTGCCCTCCCTAGGCAGGCAGTGCTGGCTCTGCTGTCTTTCCTGGGGGAAGCCCATTGCGCTTCCTGGGGCCTGGCCCATGGTACCTGCCCAGCCAGCCTTGGGAGGGGCACCCCTGGGCTTGTGGAGAGGAGGTGATGAGGCACTCAGATGTCTAGGCCAAGGCCAGGTAGGTGGCAGGTGAGACAGGCCCTTCAGATATGAGACCCCAGTGATGCAGATAAGAGTTACTCATGTTCCCCTCCAACCTCCCGCCAGGCAAAAGGGGAAAAGACACACATGGAACCACAGAAAACAGCCGGGAACCCCAAAGGGTGCTTGATGAAGAGCTGGAGCTCCCCCCCACCCTCCATGCTCCCGGAGGACCAGAAGACCCGCTCCATGGGTCAACCCGCCTTTGCCCATCCCTCCCCTGACCCCTGCTGCACGGTTCCAAGGGCTTGGTGGGGCAGCCTGAATTTTCCCTAACTCCCACTCCTAGCAAGGTCAAATTCACCTTGTTTGCCTCCTTAAAAATTCACAAATGCAAGACTGAGGCTTTTCCTGAAACCAGAGCCCCGGCAGCCAAGGTGCAATAAAATGCTGTTTGTGTTTCCAGGCACTGGGGCGGGAGCGAGGCTCCCAGTTGCTCAGTTAACCGGTCCTTTCCCGTGTGAGACCCCGCGAGCACTCGTCAATTCTCCCATCGCTGCCTGCTGGGGCCCGGGTTCCAGAGCTGCTCTTCCTCCTCGCAGCCCACCCTGCAGGCCCAGTGCTATCCAACCACAGCCCAGAGGGCAAGGCCTGCTAGAGCGGGCGCTTGCCGAGTCCCTGGCCAGTCTCCCGGGACCCTCGGTCCCCACAGCCCCCATCCAGCTCTTTTACACCTTCCCCTCCTCCATCTCGGAACACGGGAAAAGCAGGGCACACTGGAGTCTGCAGGCTGCCCTTGGGCTGCCACGGGGCCCTCTTTGCCCAGCACAGAGCCTGCCGTGCTTCGAGCCAGCAAGTCCCACCAGACCTTCTAGAGGCACTGTACAGTGTGCATCTGTTTTCAGGACAGTTTTATTTGCTGTGGAATCCATGAGAGCCGGAAGCATTGTTGGGGCCGTGGCTAGCAGAGCTCATGGTGACCAGTCCTGGGCCTGACCAATGGGCGATTACATTTAAAAACCAAAACAAAACAAAACAAAATACCAAGAACAGATCACTTGCCATGGACATCAGTAATCTATTGGTAATGGTGGAAATTTCATGAAAATTTCCCCTAAACCATAAGAAAAACTGTCCTTCTTACCCCGAAAGTGCTGGAGGAAAGATGGTTGCATGACTCATCTCTCTTTGAACTTGAAATGCTACCTTCCTACCTGGAAACGCAACACAATATACTTAAAAGGCCAGACGGCTGAAGGCTGTTTGCACTCCTGGCTCTGCTCAGGGACACCCCTTTCCCCGGTTCTAATGTTCAGACCCGGGAGGCCAGAGTCTGCAGCCTGAGGGAGCTTCAAGGCCGAGGGCTAGGACCTGCAGGGCCCACACCACCCTTCTGGTGGAGAGCTTTGCACGTGCATTCACGCGCTCATGCCTGGCGGGATGGCTGAGGATGTGTCTCATGGCACGAGTGGGCAAAACGGGGTGCATTTTACAGAAGAGTCACAGAGAGGCTCGCCCTTGGTGGAGGACACACAGCTGGGTGGGTGTGTGCAAGGGAGTGCAGGTGTGCTGACTCCGAACCAGGCAAGAGCTCTCCGTCCTGAGCTCGCCGCCCCCACGATGCACACGGCTGATGGCTGAGGTCAGCGGTCTCTTCCCTGAGTGCAGGTGTGGTCCCTGGGACTTCATAAACCATCCTCATGACAGCTTTACACTTAAGAGTCCCCACTGTGGTCCCAGGACGTGGCCTGGGCAGGCAGGCATCGTTGTTCTCGTTACAGGCTGGAAACTGAGCCTGAGGGAGGCAGAAGGCCGCACACCCGGGGAGAGTCGCAGGCAGCAGGGGCCAGGCCCCTTCCACAGCACCGCCTCTCACCCTGGCCCCACCACCCCCGACCAGCCCCCAAGGGCATGCCTCTGGCTTCACGAACCTTCAGGGGAAATTAGCTTTCTAGTTTGGGGGCAGTTCCCTCTGACTGGAGACAGGGCAAAATGCTTTCAAACCCGGAATGGCCATGCAGCCTGGCTTAGAAACAGGGGATGAAGTGGATCCTGAGGCCCATTCCTCAGGGACTCCAAGAATGGGGCAGGCCCAGCTGGGCAGCCAGTCCTGGCCCCACTGACCTAGGCTGCACCCCTGCACGTGTGTGTGTGTGTGTGTGTGTGTGTGTGTGTGTGTGTTTTCCCAGGGGACCTCTCCTCCTTCCTCTGAGGCAGAGTGACTTGCAGGGGCCTCTGCAGAGCATACAGGGAGGTGCTTCCTTCCCTCTGCCCAGCGAGCCGAGGGTGGAGCCCTGGCACCCCCAGCACCCCCGCAGGGGAAAGGAGAGTCTGCACAAGGAGCGAGATTTCCTTCCCCAGAGGGCATGGCGTGAGCAGATTCCCATCATCAAGTGGCTGTGCCCCAGAACTATTTCTGCCAAACAAGAAGCAGATGAGGGGACTCGGGGGGCGGACCTTACAGGAACGGAAGCACCACCCCACCCACTGTGGTCTACAGCCCGCACCCCATTTCCTGTTGCCACCCCACCTCTATTCCCAGTGGCCTCCAAAAGAGCTGGGCAACCTCTGCCAACCACTGCCCCTTAGCCCAAGGGAAGGCCTGGTTCCAGAACCAGCATCTTCATCTTGTCCTGATGCCCTGCCCACCCCTGCAAAGCTTCAGACTGGGCTGCTACGGAAAACTGAAAGGTCAGAGGGTGGAGGTCCTCTCCCTCCTGGACATGGAAACCTCCCCTGGCGCCCGACACTTTGGCTGGTCAGGAACAGTGGCTGCTCATGGAGCTGCCCCTCCCACCTTCAGACCCTCCTCCTCCTCTGCAGGGGTGGGCTGGGGCCCTCCCTCCCTCCGTACTTGGTCCATGACTTGTGAGTTCTGAGTCCTAGGGGCTGAGACTTGAGTCAGAACCTTCTGGAGCAGAACACAATTCCCCTCTGCACCTGGTGAGGACACCAGGCTCCTCGCTTCCTCCCCAGATCTCTCTGAGCGCTCACCCGACCCCCCAACCCTGGCGGGACCTTCCAGAGTCGGCAAGCATCGAGCCTGACCGCGCGGCCTCTTGGGTGCCAGCACGCCCACATCAAAGGTGCCCTCTCTTCCCAGAGGCCCTGAGCAACATCGGGTAACGCTGTCAGCACAGACATTAGCAGCAGGGCCGTAGCACGCGTCAACTTTTAAGTATGCGCACACACGTACGCCAGCCAATAACATTAAGTGTCATTTTAAAAAATGGGTTAAATAAGCAGCATTGCTGAGGATGGCTGTGCAGGGCTGATTATCCCCTATTTGCACGTTCTGGCGGTGGGAAGGCTAGAAGTCTAATGACTGAATTATCGCCCTAATGCCTCTCACTGGCTGGGAATAATCCCGGGGCAACAGCTGCCGCAGGGTTTTTGGCTGGTTTCCTCTAATTGCATCCAGATTAAGGGAGTTGCGGAGGGGCGGGGCTTCTCCATCCCCCCGGAGCAGCGTCTCCTCCACCAAGCCCTGAACATCCAGGTCACGGCTTCCGAGGTCCTGGCTGGTGGGAGAGGTGCAGACCTCACTGGGGTCCCGGCCAGCCCATGGGGAGCGTGAGGTGCGAGCAGTGCACGGCGGGGGTGGTACTTGGTGCAGAGATGCAGCTGACTGGTCTGGGTCAGGTCTTGGGGAGCAGCAGGAGTGAGAAGCTGTAGGGCCAGGAGGCTCAGAAGGAATGCCTTCTACTAGGACCTTCCTAAGTGAGGGGAGCCCTGGACCTGCCTACCCTCTTCCTCCCTCCCAAACACAGCAGCTCAAAGGCACGAGGTATCTAGTGAAATGCTAGGATCAGGGATGCTGTTCTCCTGGAGAGGGTGAGTGGGGAAGGAGTGCTCCAAAGCAGGCCTTATTAGGACACAGACTCTCCAGAGTCCCAGTTCTTCAGCTCTCCAAATTCTCAGCCTACTGCCACCCAACTGTGCAGAGGGGACGCTAAAGTGGCAGGTCCGTCCCCCACCCCTTAATGCTGAGCCCAGCCACGTGATTTGCTGTGGCCAAGGGGAGGGCTGCAGGTGCGGTGTCTGCCTAGGCTTGGAAAGGCACTTGCCGTCTCTCCCTCCTTGCCTTTGGCTCTGCCATGGCTGGCCTGCGGGAGGGATGCAAGAGACCACAGAGCAGGGCCAGGTCTGACCTCTGCACCATAAGCAGCCCCTGGGACTTAACAGCCCACTGGCCCTAAACAAGCAAGCTCAGCCTAGACCAGAAGAACCACCCCGCCCCAAACTGCTGACTCCTGCTCTAGATCAGTGCTGATTGTTGCAGGCCACGGAGCGTTGGGGGATTTGTTACACAGTATTGCTGTGGCAATGGATATAACTGGTTTCTAGCGGAGGGTCAGGGCAGAAGTTCTAACCACCGCCCTAGCCCACAAAGGCAACCCTCACTTCGCAGAAGCAACGTGGATGAGAAGCCCACCCCACTCCCACTGCAGGACCCCCTACTGCTAGACAGAAATGGTCAGTACCCCAGGACGGGGGCACTGACTCCCCAAAAGGCTCTTGGGCAGACAGACCTGGGAACTTGGAAGTGCCTGCTGGAGAACCTGGGTTCATGGAGAAAAGAGAAGCCGAGGAGGAGGAGGAGTGGTGACCTCCTCTTTCCTGCTGAGAAACACTGCTTTGAAGTGGCATGGCCCAGCAGTGCCCACCCTCCAGGGAGAAAAGCTTCGAGTGGGAAGAAGCCCTCGGTCCCGGTCCCCATGATGGTTCTCAGCACATCAAGGGCTCTTCTCCCCAGAAGGACGCGATGGAGGATTTCAGGAGGGATTTGGTCTTCTTGCTGAAGGAGTGGCTTTCTGTGCAGATGGCTCGACACTTCTAAGCTGGCTGGGAGGGAACTCTTATAGCATAGATCGCACACCCTTGTCTGTCCATCTCTAGATCCCAGAAGGAGCAACTGATAGACAATCTTTTGGAGTAGGGAAGAGTCTGTTGGGAAGACCTCACTCCCACATAGAAGGCAGAGAGCCCTGAGTGCTGACTCCTTCACTGGGCGCTCTCATGTCCGATCACCTGAGAAGCTGACTTACACATCTGAGTTCACAGGTCCTGTAGGAAAGTGGAAGAGTCTAACTACTTCCAGGTGTCCTTGTCTTGGTTGGTTGGCTAATATACTACCGTGTCCCTGGGACAAGGCAGATCATCGTCAGAGGACCTTGCAAACACAAACCCGCATGCATGCACGCACGCAGGGACACACGCACACATCAACCCACTCAAGCCCCAGCTGGTTGCTGTATTTGGTGGAGCTGACCTTAAACAACGCCAAGGCACCTCACGTAGAAGACCCCCAGCTAAGAAAAAGACATCGGATGCTTCTCCAACAGCCTGAGGCTCAGGCTCCTGGGCAGGGAGTTCCCTTCGTGTACCGGGAGGACGAAATGTTTAAATGGATGAACATTACAAGCCCCAGCTCCTCAAACCTGCCTGCTCTTCCACCTCTCTATCCCCATATGGGTTGAGCTTTTTATCTTTTTCTTTTTCTTTTTTTTTTTTATGGCAGATGTCTTTCCATCAGCATCCCAGCTGTGGCTGGGGAAGCTTTGGGAAGTGTGTTTGGCTCACTCCCAGAGAACAAGGTCTCATGAGGAAGTGTGTCTGGCTTGCAAGGATGTCTCCGGCCCTGGACAGGACCCTGCTCTGTTCCGCAGCCCTCGACGCGGTGGGTGAGTGAGGCCTTCCTCTCCTGTCTCTGCTTTCCTCATGGCCTGGTGATGCTGTCTGGCTGCCCGTGAGGCTGGAGCAAATCCTGGGACGTGTTGAAATCCTCCAGGGCAGCCAGCAGGAGAGTCCAGCCGGCCTGCGTCTCAGGTGCGGTGGCCACGCGTTCCACTACAGCGTTTCAGGAGCTGACTTTCCTCTGGGTGGCTGTAGGTCTGACTTCTGTCACTTCCGGACTCTAATTTTGTCGTTAGTATGAAAAGGTTCCTCTCAAGTTGTCCAAAAGCATTTTCCTTAGGTTTCTACCATCCCCTGTCCCCTTCATGCCCAGCCCCACCCCCTCCCGTGCCCGGGGCCTCTGGGGAGGTCCCCTCAACCCCTGTCCAGTGCCAGGGGCCGACCTATCTGCGGAAGCCAAAGCCGTCCTGCGGCGTCTTTGGGCCCTTCTTGCCTTCCCTCAGGGGCTTGGGGGAAGGCATCTCCACCGTGCCCCCATAGGGACAGCTCTCCGAGCCTGGATGGTGGCCGGTGCACTCCACCGCGGGCATATAGCCGCTGTCCCACATGCCTGTCCCGCACAGCTTACACAGATCGTGCAGGCTGCAGGGGATCCGGGGCAGGAGGCGGAACTGGTACAGCAAACTCCTCGCCTGCAGAGAGAGGACGGGGGGGTGAGGAGGGGCCGGGGGACAGCCTGGCAGCCTAGGGTCCCCACGGGAGTGGCCAACAAAGAGCAACAGCAGCAACGGCCTGCACCTCGGGGGCTCACTGAGTCCTGGGCTGAGGGCTCTGCCTGCATCTCCCACCATCACTGGCACCACGGGCCCTGGGTCTTAGGTGGCTGCAGTGATAGGACCCACAAGGCGCTTGGGCTGTGCTCACAGGTGGCTCAAGGTGAGGAAGGTCCCTGAAAGGGCTTCATCGGGAGGGTGAACAGGACCAACACCAGCCAGGGCCGGGCCGCGCCCAGCCAAGCCCACCTGTCCCTTCGGCAGCACCCCTCTCTTTCCCCCCACACCTTGCTCTGCACCCCCCCCACCCCAGCAGCCTCTCAGCTCCTGTAGCATCTGCGTCCTGTGCCGGGGGGCACCACTGACCTCAGGATGCCCCCTCACTGCCCTGAGGACAACCACAGAGCTAACAGGCAGCATCTCCAGGAGGAGTCTGGGAAGTGGGGGAGGGGGCCAAAGCCCAAGGCCTCCAGTATTCTGGCTACCCTGCCCCTGGGTCCAGCCTCCTCCTCAGGGTTCCTAGCTCTGGGTTGTACCTGTCCTGTGCGTCAGCCCCGGGGAATCCGTTCCCTCCTCAGCCAGCAAGGGAGGCTCCTGTGTCAGGGCTGGCACCCCAGGACAGTGAGGGGACAGCCGAGGTGACACAGCCAGGCCAAGACAGGTGCTGACTGCGAGGCCTTGGCAAGGAGCCCCCAGTGCTACGGGTGGGGGCAGGGCACGTGCTGGGGGGCCATGGTGGGGATGGGGCTCTGGGGGCGGAGCCCACATCTGGGGCAGCCTCACCTTCCTGAGAATGAGCCGGTGGGGATGGGGCTCTGGGGGCGGGGCCCATGTCTGGGGCAGCATCACCTTCCTGAGAACTAACCGCTGGCACTGGGGCTCTGGGGGCAGGGTGGGGCGGGGCCCACGTCTGGGGCAGCCTCACCTTCCGGAGAACGAGCTCCCCGTTCATGTGCATGGCCAGGTTTCCGAAGTGCAGGAGCATCTGGTCCGTGGCCAGCTGCTGCTCGATGACATCATCCCCATAGATGGCCACGATGGCCACGCAGATGAAAAGGTGGAAGTAGTCGGTCTGGGGAGGGGGGTAGAGTTCAGACACGGGCTCTGACCGAGCCCCAGGCCCTGCACTCAGGAGGAAACTGACTGCCAGGGTGCGAGCGAGGGCTCCAGGGCGAGGTGTCGGGGCTCACAGCCCAGCTCGGGGGCCGTGTGGCCCTGGGCGAGCTGCATTGCCTCTTCGGCCCTAAGTTTCCCCACCCACACACGGGGTCCATCCTGGGTCGCATGCCCAGGCTGCTGTGACATCCACAGGGGACGACACTGAGCTCAGCCCCACGGGCTGCTGCTGCTCTCCTGGGGGGCAATGTGGGTGGTCTCCATGACGGGGGCGGGGGCGGTGGGGAGGTGCCTTCCTCAGAAGGCCTGGCCTGCGCTTATGGGGAGGACTCATTTGTAACGGTCCTGAGCAACGGTGTGTGTGGAAGGCTGGGTCAGAACTCACTCCAGCGGCTCGTGGAATGTGCCTCTGGCAGCCAGCCACGGGTCAGCCTATCCTCCTGGCTCCAGGCCACACCCCCCAAATCATGCCCCAGAGACGACCCTAGGGTTTGTGGCTAGAAAAGTGGGAAGATCCTAACAGAGCGGGCACAGCAGCTCGCCCATGGGGTGGCTGAAATGATCGCGCTGTCCTTGAGCCTCTTTTTGGGCGCCCTTTGAGGACTCCGCAGCCCTCCCTTTAAAGACCGCCCCACGAGGCCTGCCAGCAATGCGCTGTGCACCGCAGGAAGCCCACGCCGGGTCCTGACGGCTGCATCCTGTGTGCTCTCCGGCCTGGACGCCTCAAGGCACGCCACCTTTGATGCACACGCACTTCCGGAGGCACAGGAAGGACGGGGGCACTGAGAAGTCCATGTTTAGTCTCCTGACGTCGACCACACAAACCAGACGGAACGGTGTCCCCAGCCCAGGCTGAGCAGAGCACACCATGAGGGCAGAGGCTACAGGCAACTCCCACGCCCCAGCCTGCTCCTGGAGAGACCATGCACCAGGCTGCCCGGCTGCTTCCTCTGAACTAATCTGGGACGGTCTTGTTTTGGCTCTGACGGATCCTTTTGCAGTGATTTGAACTGTGGCTGGTGCGAGACACAGTGGAGGGGTTGCAGGAAGGTGGACGCCCAGCTTCTCTGGGAGAGGAATGTGGGGAGGGAGAGGGAGGGCACGATCTCCACAGCCTGTACAGTATAGGCGGATTTCAGTTCCCAGGACAGGCAGGGCGTAGGGCCGTCCAGCCCCACCACACGCTGGCAGCGGATGGATAGCATCAAAGGCCTTTTCTCGCTCAGGGGTCACTGAACAGTTAAAGACCTCACCTGGCGGCAACCTTCCCATTCCACAGAGCTCACTCCCAGCTCACTGGCAGCCCACCCCCACCCCGTAAGACTACCAAATTGATCGAGGGATGGGACCGACTGTGGCTAAATCTAGCCCACAGTCTGAAAACAACAGAAACGTGCTTTGTGGATTCCAACAAAACAGCAGCCAACAGAGATCCCACGTCACATCGGCCTCCCGCTGGAATTCCAACTAGATCTCATTACACTCGGGACATAGTAGGTGCCCGTGGGAAAGGGCCCTGTCTGCTGGGCCACGCCCTGAGTTCATATGTGACATCAGCCTGAACATAAAGGAATGAGGGCGGCAAATCTGCCACTGGGAAAACATGCAATGAGGCACGATTTTTTTCTCTGGGGGTGGTGGGAATGAAGCGTCTCAGACCATCCATGCCGTGCTTCCCTTTATTAATGCAGACCGTCCACCCTGCACGTCCACGTCCAGCAGGCTAAGCCAGGAAGGAAACCTAGACCCGGGCCAGGGCGAGCCAACGAATGCATGCAAAGGCGGCGTGTGGCACCGGCACTCCGTGGCTTCAGACTCTCTCTCATCAGATATCAGCCCCCTGCAGTGTGAGTGAGGACGGGAGACGCTGACGCAAATGTCTTCCAGCAGATGGGTGTTTACCTGCATCTTCAGGGCTCTCTGATGGAGGCTGCTGGAGCTGCCATGGTGGATGGAGCCTGCTCCTGCAAAAGGGTCCAGCCCTCCTGGATGCGTCAATGTGAGTTTTTTTTTTTTTTTAAAGGCTGATGGATTCAAAGAGACTTGCTTATCTTTTGACATCTCCAGCTTGTCCCTAATTTGGGCGTTAAGGCCATGTGACAGAGCCAGTGCTGTGCTCCAAGGGGAATTTGCTGAGAAGATGCTGGTGACGGTGGACGGAGAGAGGAAGTCGGTATCACTGACTGGAGCCCTCTGGAGGGGCCGACAGGGAAGTGGGAATCTCAGGCCCTTTCTCTGCACAGGAGGGTGACGGGTGAGTTGGCCCTCGTCCCTCGTGGCCGGGCGGTCCCGAGGGGGCAGGGCGGTGCTGGCTTACGCTCCTGGGTACCGGCATCCTGGGCTGCTGTGGTCTAGCGTAGGCCCCCGACAGTGTCACTCACACTGATTGGTTGTGACAGGAGGGAGCTCAGCCCCAGAAAGTGGTAATGAGTGCAGTCAGCGGGCAATTTGCATCGATTTCAGTGACTGGGGAGGCGAGCTGCAAGGTCTGAAGCCAGCCACGTGGGACGGGAAGGCGGTCGCCATATGGGGGACTCATGTGTGGCTGTGGTTGGGGGGCGGCGAGGCGGCCAGGGGCAGCAGGCAGGGTGGCCACGGTGGTTCAGGGGCCATGGTCCCAACCTCCCCGGCCCTGGCCCCTGCCCTGGCTCACCTGGTAGTAAACCCAGCAGGCCTCCTGGCCCCTGCCCTGGCTCACCTGGTAGTGGGCCCAGCAGGCTTCCCAGATCCGCAGCGCTTCAGCCTCGGGGAACTCCCGCTTGAAGCACAGCAGGAGCCAGCGGTGGCAGAAAAGCATCTGCAGGCCGTCCTCGCCCAGCGAGACCAGGTGCTGGTAGAAGCGCACGTGTGTCAGCCGCAGCAGCTCCCGAAGGTATAGCTGGGGGCGAGGCCAGCATGGGTTAGTTAGCCCTAGTCCCATGCAAGCCTGTTGCCCAGGGAGCCCACTCCCACTGGGGCCCTTCCCCGGGCCACCCCAACCTGGAAAAGCACAGCCAGGGGCCTCTACCTGCTCCACATGCCAGCCCCCCAGTGCTTTATTCCACCACTGGAATCGGTTCACACCTGCCTCTGCCAGTTCCTCCCAGATTTGACTGTTCCGGAGGCTGTGGCATGGCCCAGAGTGAGGCAGAGCATTGTTCCCTGGAGTGGCCGGATGCTGGGCAGCCGCTCCATGGCCAGGAAGGCTCCCCACTCTCGGTGGACACTTGGGGGCTATTTCCCACATCCACCCCTCCTGGTGAGGTGAGCGGATCATCCAGGGAGCGCCCCCACCCCTCTTCAGCTATGCTCACCCAGATCTTTCATCTTCCAGAGCTGATTTAGGGCAGGAAGGGGACGTGTCTGAGCCCCAGGATGCTCGATTCCTGCCATTAAGGTCACCTCCCAGTGACGTGGAATAAGATTGGGGCTATTTCTGGCAGCACCCGGGCCCAGGCCACTGACTTCATCAATGTCGCTGGAAAATCAATCTCCAGCAGTCAATGAGTCACCCGGCCATGTGCTGCCATGAGCCTTCAGGGGCGAATGGCGTTGGACACTGTAACTGCCTCCCCAGGCAATGTGGACGCCTGACGTCACACCCACCCATTGACGCAGAGTGAGCAGGCTCGGCTGGGGTCAGCCCCCCGGCCCAGGTGGAGTTAGATCACAGCTGGGGGGATCCTGGGGCAGGGCTCAGGGCCACATGCCCCCTTCCCACACAGGTGGCCCATTGTTCCCACGGAAACTGCGTTGAAGATGTGCAGCCAGCCGTCCGCCCTGTGGCCTGCAGCCGGGTCAAGCCCACCCATGTGGATGACCCCCTTGCAGACGCTCCACTCCCACCCCCTGTGCAGGTGCCTGCACCTCCCTGCTTGGGCTCCTTTGCCTTCAAATTCTCTCTGTTGGCTTCAACCCTCCCAGCCTGCCATCAGTGACCCACTAATAGTCAGTCTACAGCAGTGGTCCCCAACCTTTTTGGCACTAGGAACCCGTTTCCTGGAAGACAATTTTTCCACAGACAAGGTAGTGTGAATGGTTTCGGGTTGAAACTGCTCCCCCTCGTATCATCAGGCATTAGATTCTCATAAGCATCGCACAACCTAGATCCCTCACATGCAGTTCACAAAGGGTTCTTGGATTCGAGCTTCTGTGGGAATCGAATGTGGCCGCTGATCGGACGGGAGGTGGAGCCCAGGCAGGGATGCTCGCTGGCCCGTCCTCCGCTCACTTCCTGCTGTGCGGCTGGTTCCTAACAGCCCACGGACCAGCGCCAGTCCCGGACCTGGGAGCGGGCATCCCATTCTATGAGACATGCTCGGTGGCCTGGGGGCGGGGACCCCCGTTCTGAGACATGCTCGGTGGCCTGGGGGTGGGGACCCCCGTTCTATAAGACACACTCTGTGTGCTGGGGCGGGGACCCCCATTCTGAGACACGCTCAGTGTGCTGGGGCAGGGACCCCCATTCTGAGACACGCTTTGTGGCCTGGGGGTGGGGATCCCCATTCTATGAGACACACGCAGTGTGCTGGGACGGGGACCCCCATTCTGAGACACGCTCTGTGGCCGGCAGTGGGGACCCTCGTTCTATGAGACACACCCTGTGGCCCTGGCCTTCAAGGCCCTCCATCAGCTCCTCCCTCACTACTGGTCCAGGAAGACCGGGTCACTCAGTCCCACCACTAGGACTGCTCTGCTCAGCCCAGCCTTAGCGACACTCAGGGCCAGACCCCACACACCCTGGAGCTGTCCCTAGTGCAGAAGCCCTCTTGTCCTTATCATGGGCGCCTCCTGCAGGGTTCCCCAACAACCAGCGTCCTCTGCTCACAATGCCAGCTTCCTGGCCCAGCCGGGAGGGTGAATGTCTGGTGACCGCACCCGGCAGGTACTTGGTAGACACGGGTGATGCGTGGTGAGAACAGTGAGCAGGTGCCCTGGCTCGGTCCCACACACTGGCCCTCTGGTGCTGCCTTACCCAGCTGGGCTCAGCCCCACCACCGACAGTCAGTGCTTCCTGGTCTACATAGGGCTGGTCCTTTTAAAGAGGCCTTGACGGGAGACGTGACAGCTGGGCACCCCAGGGAAGGGGTGGGGTGTGAGGACTGCCCCGGAGACCTCAGGGAGTTTCAGGAGCCCCTCCTCTTCCTGTCCGCACTCAGAAGCCCTGGCTGTGTTGACTTCTGCGGGGAGCAGCTTAGACACACCTGAGGACCCATTTCCTAAAGCTCAGAGGGGGCTGGGTGTGATGGTGCCTCCCCTTCCTTGCCAGCCAGGGAGCTTGGGCCAGGTTGTCACATGCAGGGGTGGGAGGCCACCAGGGTAGCCCACACAACACGGCCCCTGGACCTGCAGGGAGTCAGGGGGCCAGCCCCCGGAGATCCAGGGCTAAGTCACCCATATCCCACAGGCAAGTCCTATCCTGGCGTCTTCGCTGCCCACTGACCTATAGCAGCCAAGCCACGCGTCACCACGGCAACCCTGGCTACAAGGGGAGAGGCAGCATGGGCCCTCACATGCCCTCGGAGGTACCCATCCTCTGAGCCTCACCAGTTGTTTCTCCATGTCCTCGTCCCGAGGGGAGCTGACAAAGATTGTGTTCTGCATCAAACCCACAAAGCACCAGAAGGTGTCTGATTCATCCAGGACCTCGGCCAAGATGGGCGCCACCAGGTCCGACATCCCCTGGGAATAGCCGACGGCAGGGTTGTACACGGCATAGTTCAGTAAGATCCTCCTGGGAGACAGTGGAGACAGCAGTAAGCGGGATGACCCTCACCACAGCACACTGCCCAGCCCGTAGAACCCCAAGCTGGAGACCCCGCCTTCCCTCACTTGCCTTCATCTCAGTGGAAGGCAGCTCTGCCATCATTTCAGAGCCCAAGCTTAGGTTCCAGACACACAGACCCTTGCTTTGCAAAAGGTAATGGCCTGGCTGGGCATGGTGACTCATGCCTATAATCCCAGCACTTTGGGAGGCCGAGGTGGGCAGATCACCTGAGGTCAGGAGTTCGACACTAGCCTGGCCAACATGGTGAAACCCTGTCTCTACTAAAAATACAAAACTTAGCCAGGCATGATGCGGTGCACGCCTATAATCTCAGCTACTAGGGAGGCTGAGACAGGAGAATAGGTTGAACCCGGGAAGTGGAGGTTGCAGTGAGCCGAGATCACATCATTGCACTCCAGCCTGGATGACAGAGCAAGACTCTGTCTCAAAAAAAAAAAGAAGTAATGGCCTGCTATTAGCTGCTGTCTAGGCCCAGAACCTTGAGAGCAGGGGTAAGGGGGAACATGGGTCTGATTTTCTGAAGGGTGGACTGCCTGTGACAAGGGGTGGGCTGGCAGGGACATTTCTGTGGGCTGCTAATTTTGTGCAATTATTTGCTAGGCTGCAGCAGAATGTCAGAGATGCCAGCCTTTGGCTCTGTGTGGCTGTATGACTGCAGGACCACCCACGGGGAGATGGAGGGGGTGCATGGGGAAGCTGGTCCATGGTTGGTGTGAGCCAAGCAAGGACAGGCTTGGTGGTGCCCAGGGGATAGAGGGGTTCTGCGGGCCCCACTGGCAGGGACCTGGGTGGCTTCCCTGGGATGCCACGGCTCTGAGATGCCAACTGAGGTAGCCCATGAGTAGCGTATCCTTCACTTCCGGGGCTTTGACGTATGAACCTGGAAGAGAGCCCCTGCAGAAAGTCGCTGGGGGCTCATCCACTTCCCAGGGCGGTCAGGTAAGACTTGCAGACTTGCAGGTGGCTGGGGAGGGAGTACCTCATGCTCTCCACGTTGGGATTGTCTTCCCCTCGGAAGAACTGGTTGTTCCGATCGGTCCGGACCACGTCTTTGTCCACAGTGAACTGCACATTGCGCCAGAACGCTCTGTGCTCCTCAGGGGTCATGGAGAGCCTGTGTGGAGCCAACCACCGAGTCGGGTCAGCGGGTGGCAGCCGGAGGCATCGTGTGGTGCACACATTCCAGGAAGCCACACTTCCTCCCAACCCCCATTCCCTGGATGGGAGCTGGGTGGCTGCTGCCGGCTGCAAACCCTCCCGGATGAGGCGGATGGGTGGCATGTATCCAAGGCTCTCCCTGATATTAACTCCGCCTCACAGGCTCCAGCGTCCCAGAGAGAAGAACAAGTTGTAGCCTAATGGGTAATGAGGTCTTGGCCCTGGCCCAGTGTTCTGGAGGGGAGCTGAGCACAGCCCAGTGGCTTCACCCAGTCCCAGCCTCCTGGAGAGAGAGCTGACCCCAGTTCTGGGTTAGCAGAGCCCAGGTGGGACAGAGTCTCCGGATGCCTTCACCCCTCCAGGCCCTGCTCCCAGCCCCAGCCTTCAGCTGTGGGACGTCAGCGCCTAGTTAAGTCTGTTGAACGAGAATTCTAAAACCTTGACATGTGAGCTAACGAGCCCCGCAGTTCCGAGGCCCGAGTGCTTGGTTTAATGACTGCACTTATCCCACCCTATCACTCACGTTCCTGGGAGACCCATTTCTGAAAGAAACTATGGGTCACGAAACATATTATCAATGCTGAATTGCACCTCAAATTGCCTTTTCAAATGACATTTTCCTCTGCGGCTCGGCGGGGTGGGCCGGGCTGGCCCCGGCGGTTACCTTTTCTGCTGGATCTCAGAGTACTCCTTTCGCTTCTGCAGCCGCAGCGCCTCCCGCTCCTCCGACGTGGACTCGTGGCTGTAATAGCGCAGCAGGAAGGGCCAGACCTCCCCCCGGATTGACACATCAATGCCGCCAAAGAAAATGGCCTGGAGGAAGCGGCAAAAGTTGGGGAGGGGATAAAACAGGGCAGCTCAAAGAACCCCCAAATCCCCAGAGATGTGTGTTTTGGTGGCTTTGGTGCGCCTGGATTCAGATCTCTGCAATTTGCACATATTTACAAGGGGAAAGCAGTGGTCTTCAATTCCCATACAGGACACAAACCCGGCTCATTTCAATGTCAATGCCCCCCCTGGGGTGGCGCTCAGATTAACGTGTCGTTCTCACGTCATGGCCTAATCCCTGGTTTTGGAAACGCTGCATTTCACTGCAAACCCTTCTATACAGGCTGACACGGTATCCCCCCAAACCCTCGAGGGAGGTTTTTTTTTGTTTTTTGTTTTTTTTTTCAACGCAGCAGCTTTGATTGCTTTATCGGAGTATTCACAGAGAGCCTCACACAAGAAAACGGGGCTCTCCCAAGGAGGTGGCCCGTGGGTGCGGGCGGGCGGCCAGACCCTGGCCTCCTTCCCTCTTGCTCGTTCCCGGTTCCCGGCCGGCTCTCCACGGGGCCAGCGGGGAGGGCTCAGACCTCACCTTCCGCAGCTTGTACTCCTCCTCCACCTGGCCCAGCTCGTTCAGGTGGTTGAGCCAGGCAGAGACGCCGAGCCTCTTGTACATGCTCTCCTCGGGGTGCGTCTCGGAGGACGGCAGCTTGGGGCGGCGGATGGAGAACTGCATGCATGTCTTATCGGGGGCGACCTGCTAAATGGGAGGAAAACTGGGCAAAGGTCAGGATCTCAGCCGTGCGGCTTCAGAGGCCAGCGGTGCTTTTCCCAGGATTAAAAGCCTCTCTCTCTTCTGAAAGGAGGGCAAGGGCCGTCCCTTGCATACAAACCCCTAAATGGCGAGTGTAATTAGGCGCAATTAAAATGAAAATACCTTCATCTTAAAATCGGTTTCCCTCTGCGGCTCTCTCCTCCCCGGCCCACTGTGCCGCCGCCCCCACTCTCTCCAACCCCAGCCGCAAAAACGGAATTAATGCCTCGTTCGGCCTAACTTCCCTCTGCCGGGAGGGCCTGCAATGAATTACATGTGATTGGCCACATACAAAGGGATCGCTGTCCTGCGAGCAGGGAGCCAGCCTGTCAGATTGTCTCCGCGAGCAGTCACGAATCCAGGGCAAAACTGCAGCTGACATTTAATTCAAAAATCAAAGGTTGTTCAATGTAGGGGGAAAAAAAGCCATGCTACTGTAATAAGGGAAGCCAGCAGGAGGCTCTGTGGGAAGGAAGGGAATTTTAAAGTCAGCCCTGTTTCTAATAAGCACATACAGTATCTTCAACAGATAATTAAAGAGCTCTTATTACATTTGTACGTAGATTGAGCAAAATATGGCAGGAAGTCTTGTCAAAACACGATTTTTCAAGTGCAGGGCACTGACTTTACAGAAAGCCCTGGGCACAGGTTTCAAACCTGAAGTTGCTGCTCTGAAGGCCGAAAGCTACCGTGGGTCACACCCCGTAAGCCCCCGGGCCCCGGAACCCAACACGGGACCCAAGAGGGAGATGGGGCCCATGGGGGGGGGAAGTGTCAACCGCGGGGCGTCTGGGGTGGTCTGCTGGGCTACCTGGTCTTTGAGCTGCATCTCGGTGCAGTATTTCCACTGCTGGAACACGTCGGACAGCTTGTCCAGGCCACCGTGGTGGAAGTGGAAGACCTTGTACTGGCTCTCTCGGCTGGCGACGACCAGCTGGCCGCTGGTGCAGGCCTCGTCGCTGAAGGGCCATTGGAGAGGGGAGAGGAAAGCCCGATGAATATGTAAACACGGGGGTTTTATTTCCAAGTATAATCAGAGGCCACTGTCGCCAACCTCAGGAGCAGGAAACAGTGGGTCCCGGTGGGGTTGGCTGCTGGCGGGAGGGGACAGAACTACACCGAACAAAAACCGTCACCCCCTTTGCTGAAGATGACAAAACTGCTCCTTTCTGGGGGGCCCTGGGGCTCCTCTCTGGAGACCTGCCAGAGCGACCTTCTCCCCACCACCACCTGCCCAGCTACATGGTCCCTGCAGTCCGGGAGACCTGGGTCCCAGTGCTGAGTGCCCTGGAATCCAGTTTTGAGCCCCGGTGGGCCATGTGCTAAGAGAACCTCCTGGGAACAGACCTCCTTCGTTGCGTGTGGGTGGAACTCTGGGAGAACCCTCCAGGGAAACTCACTAAACATCCGTCAGTGCTGTCAGCCCAACCCCGGCTGCCCTTAGATGAAAGGCTGGAATGTGGCTCTGGGTCTGGGAACCCCCCCAGCTTCTGGATACGCCGGCTTCTTCTAAGCCCGGGCCTCTTATTGGTGCTGTCTGCGGCTGGGCAGCCCTGACTATAAGGAGGAGGATCTGATGTGGGGAATGACTGCAGGAAACTAGGCATCGCCCACCCATCACGAAAGGAAGGGAGCCTCCATCCGGAAGGCTGCGGCCCGTCCCGCACAGGTGGCCGAGCTCCAGAGCATCTCCCGGGGATCACAGAGGCCTGCAGCTGCTACTCTCCGCCCTGGTTTGGTTTCTTCTCCCAAGCCAGAGTTGCAAGCAGTCGCTGGCTACCATCACGCTGAAGGTAGGGGAATGAGTTCGGTAGCTCACCTGGCCTGAGAACCGCCAGGGAGCCGCGGTGGGGAACCGCTGCCCGCAAGATCAGTGAGGGAGGAAGGCAGACGCTTGGGAAGACTCCATCCAGGGCCCTGCGTCCCCACGCCATGCACTGCACCGGCCACAAAGCACAGGCTGCCAGGGAAAGCAAGCACACACAGACCAACTCCCAGGAGACGCCCAGAGCTGCTTCCTACCTGAAGAAAAGGCGGAGGGAGCGCATGTGGCCCAGGTCCACGCGGAACACGCCACAGATCTGCTCTAGGGCGCACACCCGCTGCGGCTCGTCCCAGCGCGGGGTCTGCAGGAGGCCGTTGCTGTCCGGGAACCGCAGGCCGGTGTCGGAGCTGGATGGGGGGCTGGTGGAACAGGTCATGTGATGATGGCCACACATCACCCTGCCCACACCACCCAGAGGGGGACAGGGGGCATGGGGAAAGTCATTTAAACCTACGCAACAAGCTTAAACACACATACAGGCACAACTGAATATGCCCTGTAAACATCTGTGAATGAAGGCATGTATGAACCCCACTGCACAGTTCTACTTCCACTTGGATGGGAAAGCATTTTCATGATCAAATTCCATTCCACTTCAATAGAGGCAGTAAGTCATCATCGCCCTGAGAGCCAAGATCACATTGACTGGGGTTCCTCGCTGGGTGACCTTGGCCAAGCCACCTAGCCTCTCTCAGCCTTCGTTTCCCCATGGGTAAAGCGAGGAGAGTAACAAGGCTTGGTTTCCCTACAGCATGGGGCTGAGCTTTACTGAAAATAGCTGTTTTGTGATGATTTTAGATAGCATGGGGCTTCCGCCGTGGTTTAAACCAGCTCATTGTTCTCCTGAAAAGTACTGGTTCAGTTTACGCTTTGGTTAGGAAACATTTGGGTTTTCAGTACTATTAATAACGTCATGAGCATTTATGAAAACACTGACTATGGGCCTGGCCCTGAGCTAATGCTTCTCAGGTGCTTTTATTGCATTTAATCTTCACAAAAATCCTCTGAAATGAATAGTGGTATTACCCCATTATAAAGAAGAGGCAACTGAAGCCCAGAGAGGTTAAGTAACTTGCCCAAGGTCACACAGCTGGCAAGTGGTGGAGTGGAGATTAGAACCCAAGCTTTGTGGCCCATGTTCTCACCAGCATATTGTGCAGCTGTCTGCAGTTCAGCAGGACAACCCCATTTATTCTGTTATTTTTTATGAGTTTGTTACATTTCAAATTGCTAAATATTTTATTATACAGATTCAGCCACATCACAGGTTAAATCCTGTCTCTTGAGATTTTTTCTTCTCTTTTTTCTTTTTTTTTTTTTGAGACAGAGTCTCGCTCTGTCACCCAGGCTGGAGTGCAGTGGCGCAATCTCGGCTCACTTCAACCTCTGCTTTCCGGGTTCAAGTGATTCTCCTGCCTCAGCCTCCCGAGTAGCTGGAATTACAGGCGTCTGCCACCATAACTGGCTAATTTTATATTTTTAGTACAGATGGGGTTTCACCATGTTGACCAGGCTAGTCTTGACCGCCTGACATCAGGTGATCTGCCCACCTCGGCCTCCCAAAGTGCTGGGATTACAGGCGTGAGCCATTGTGCCCAACCCTCTCTTGAGATTTAATAGTAATGTTTAGCAAATGTCTGCTAAAATAAAACCAGAGTAGAGGCAAGACTCAGTTCTGGACCCCAACTGCAGCGTCCCACAGAGACTCAGCTGTATTCACTGCTCCTGCTTCCCGTTTGAGCTCACAACATAAAGTGTTGGAGGCCATCAATCCAGAGGCACTTCCTCCTCCAAGAAGCACCAGGTCTAAGTAAGTAAAGCTCCTTTGGAGGGTTCCAGCACAATCCCTCCCCACTTGGAACTTCAAAGAGAGAAACCTGACTGGCCTTTCTAGAACCCTCTACTGCGTCAGGCACAGCCCTGGGCCTGGCGAGTGGAAGGCGGCCTTTCTTCCTCACCTGCCTAAGGAAGTCAGCTGAACAGGCCCTCCCACTGCTGGGGTCCCTGGGCTCTCAAGGAAACGGAGTCAGGTAAAACCAGATCAGAGATGGGCACATGGGCCCATCACTCGAACTGCCGTGGCTGCGCCATGGACGGGCCCAGAAGGCCGAGGGCTCCCGAAATCTTCTCAAGCTGACCTCTGACCCTGTGGGAGCTGTGCTTCGGAATCATTGCTCACAACACAGGGCAGGTCTCGGGTCTGAGGCCCCACCGCACCCATGGGTGCCCCCTTTCATCATCTGCTCCCTGAACCGCGGGGCTGCTGTGGCTGGGAGAGCTGCTGCCCCGCGTGCTGCCCGCCGGCCTGACCCACCGGGTGGGGCCATTAGTGGTATCCTTCCCGGCCTCCTCCCCCAGCCTTCTCACCACAACCAGCGGCAGAATCCCCTGAACCTGCACGTCCCTCCCAGCACACTGTGTCCCCTCACCGTACGGGGCAGGCCAAGGTTCCCAGAAACCAGATAGACCACAGAGACTCGCTTTGGCAGTCACGAGTGGAAGGCCCCCTTCCCTGCTGCTGTGGCCAGAGAAGACTGGTCCCCTGGAGGGCCAGAGCCGATTTCAAATCAGACAAGAGTCCCGGACACAGGGGCCACCGCACACCTCCCCCAGCAACATGCCTCCGGGCAGAAGTTGGCTTAAACCCTCTCACAACCCCTTAGGGGCAAATTATTTGCACTAATTAATTGATTGATTCATTAATTCAAGACACTGTGCTTGGGACCTACAGCTGGGTTCCATAGGCTCCAACTAGAGCGAAGGTGATGGAGACCTCAGTTCGCTTTAATTGGGGTATGTCTGGCAGGTACCCTGTGTGGTCATGGAGGACGAGGTCTGGTGCCCCTCAAGGCTGCTGTGGAGTGGGGGTTGCACCGTGTCTCTTCATCTTCAGCTCCTGGCCCTGGCTTGGCACAGAACACACAGCCATTTAATAGTCATGCCTGAAGTGAAAATGTAAAGTGTCTGGGAATTTTGAAGTCATAGAAAAAAATGTTTAAAGAAAATAAACTACAGGGAAAATGAAATATGTACAGTGTTTTATTTTTGCTTATCTTTCTACACACGTAAAGCAATTTGGTTTTAAGAATATTCATATATGCTGCAAATAATTTAGCTTGTTCATAAAATTATGTGATGCATTAAAACCGAAAGGATGGGTTTTACAGGCAATAACTCCCAAGATGCTATTACGTTAAAAATATCTCATACATAAAACTAGAAGATGCTAAACTTTAAGAAATGTAGCAGTTCTTCATTTCTATCATTTTCTGAAGACCACCAAAATGTAAAAGTAATAATGAAAAAAAGTCAGCAATATCACTGGAAAACACAAAAACTGGGTTCTCTCTCCACCACAGTAAATTGCGCCACGTCAGACACAGAGATAGAGATTTGAAATGGCCTCAAATTCTTCACAGCTCATCTTATCAAGGATAGCACCTGTCTCTCCACCCCTGAATCTAGGTGGGCCTTTTTTGACCAATAGTATGTAGCAAACATGATGTTAGGCGAGTTCTGGGGCCTGGGCAGCCCCTCACTCTCCCTCTTGGCACAGGCAAGACAGACAGACAAGAGTTCATGAGAGACACACGCAACTGGCAGTCAGCACCAGAGCCCCGACACCTGTCAACGGAGGCCACTCCAGACCCTCCACCCAACCAAGCCTCCTGGTGGCTGCAGCGACCTGAGTGAACTCCAGGGAGCCCAGCAGACCAGCCTGTCCCAGCCCAGCCCAAACCAAAGCCCTGTGAGCAAAGAAGCGGTTTTTTGTTTGTTTGTTTTTTAAAGACAAGGTCTCTCTATCCCCCTGGCTGAAGTGCGGTGGCGCAAACACAACTCGCTGCAGCCTCAACCTCCCAGGCTCGAGCGATCCTCCAGCCTCAGCCTCCCAAGTAGCTGGGACTACAGGCACTCACCACCACACTCGGCTAATTTTTGTATTTTTTATAGAGACGGGGTTTTGCCATGTTGCCCAGGCTGGTCTCAAACTCCTGAGTTCAAGCGATCCGTCCGCCTTGGCCTCCCAAAGTGCTGGGACTACAGGTGTGAGCCCCTGCACCGGGCCCGGTGGTTGCTTTAAGTTGCTAAGTTTGAGGGTGATTTGTTCCACAGCAATAGATTACTGACACACGCAGGACAGGCCAGCTCTCAGAAAAAGCTTGCGGGGGAGGAAGAAACCTTCAAACACATTGAGCTGTGGTTCTCAAGGTTAGAGACACCAGGGCCAGATTTTAGCATTATTTAAAATACCTAAACTGCTAACTTTCCTCTTGCTTTTCTTTGTCCTGAGCCTTTTGAGTTTGCTGAACAAAAAGTCGATGGGAACCCAGCTGTAGGTCCCAAGCACAGTGTCCTGAATTAATGAATCAATCAATTAATTAATGCAAATAATTTGCCCCTAAGGGGTTGTGAGAGGGTTTAAGCCAACTTCTGCCCAGAGGCACGTTGCTGGGGGAGGTGTGCGGTGGCCCCTGAATCCGGGACTCTTGCCTGGATAGAAATTGGCGCTGACCCTCCAGGGGACCAGCCTTCTCCGGCCACAGCAACAGAGAGGGGGCCTTCCACCCGTGACTGCCAAAGCGAGTCTCTGTGTTCTGTCTGGTTTCTGGAAATTTTGGCGTGCCCCGTTCAGTGAGCGGGACACAGTATGCTGGGAGGGACTTGTAGGTATTGGAGGAGTGGGCAGGGTGTGCTTGGTGTGCTGGGTTGGGAGAGGAGGCTGTGATGGGAGAGGAGGCTGTGATGGGAGAGGAGGCTGTGATGGGAGAGGAGGCTGGAAAGAATGACACCCTTTGGTGGTTCCCCATAATTGCCAAAACCTGGAAACCACCAAGATGTCCTTTGGTGGTGAATGGATAAATAAGTTTAAATAACTGTGGTACAGCCAGACGAGGGAATATATTACTCATCATTAAAAAGAAATGAGCTGTCAGGCTGTGAAACAACACGGAGGGAGCTTCGACGGATCTTACGAAGGGGTTTACTAAGCAAAGGGACCCAGTGTGATGAGGCTGCACCCTGTGGGATTCCAATTCTAGGACACTCTGGAAAAGGCAAAACCATGGAGACAGTGACAAGATCAGTGGTTGCCAGGAGCTGGTGGGGAGGTAGGAAGGTGAAGCACGGAGAACTTTTAGGGCAGTGACACACCGGTATGACACCAGAGTGGTCACGGTGACATGTGTCATTATACATTTGTCCAGACCCATAGGACGTACAAGATGGAGTGTGAATGTCGACATAAACTATGGACTCTGGGTGACAATGACGTATGGGCTTGTGAGTTGTAACACGAGTCCCACTCTGGTGGGGGAGGCTGTGCGTGTGGGGGGAGGGGATGGATGAGAATTCTCTGTAC